CGTTTGCCGAAAGCCCTTGGTGGCGCCGCGGTGCGAGTAACGCGGCTCGCCCAGCCTTTCATCGACCATCCAACCGCAGGCGTACGTCCGGCCGCGGCGTGAGTCGCCGAAGCCGTCGTTCTCGGGCGGCGAGACGCGGGGCGTCATCCACAGGTCGTAACCAGCCTCAGAGAGTGGGACCTTGCGATCGCGCACCGCGTGGAGGAAGGCTTCGAGGTCGTTGAGGGACGTGTAGAGGGCGCCGTCGCCGCCGAGCCTCGTGTAAGGTCCTTGGTCCTCTTCGTGCCAGTCCGCATTGTCGGGAACGGCCGCAAGTTGCCGCTGGGCCATGAGGATCTGCTGTTCGATCGCCGCGTTGGGTTGCGCCTGTTGCTGGGCGATCCGCTCGCGTAGGGCGATCATTTGCTGGAGCCGCTGCCGCGTCTGCTGGACGACGATGTCGGGGCCGGGCTGGTGACCGAAGGCGCGGTTGGGCGGCGAGTTGAGGCCCTCGACGAAAAGCAGGCTGCCCTCCATGCCCGCCGGGTGGAGCACCTCGTCGCGCAGGTAGTCGGCGAAGGGTTGGCCGCTCGCTTGTTGCACGACGAGCCCTAGCAGGACGTAGGCGGTGTTGTTGTAGGTCGTGCGCGGATGCATCGACGTCAGCGCGGCGTCCGGCAGCCGGCTGATTGTCCGCAGCACGTTCAGGTCGGTTGCCTCGGGAAGTTGCTGGATGTTCAGCAATCCGTGGTAGGGCGGCAGGCCCGACGTGTGGTCGAGCATCATGCCGATTGTCACGGGGCGAAACGTCTCGGGAAGGCCGGGCAGCCATTTCAACGCGGAGTCTTCGAGCAACAGCTTCTCATCGTCGACGAGCTTAAGCACGGCGGCGGCGGTCAGCACCTTGGTGAACGACGCGACGCGGAAGGTGGTCGCCGGCGTAATCGGCTCGGGCTTGGAGCCGTCTTCGGTCTGGTAGCGACAGGCGCCATAACCGTGCTTGAAGACGATCGGCTTCCCGCTGGCGTCCTTGCCGAACACCATCACGGCGCAGCCCACATGCGGCGGCAGCATCTGCTTCACGCGCTGGTAGACGGTGCCGCCGGGCGGTTCGGGCGGGATCGAAATGGTGTTCTCGTCACCACGTAGCGCTGCCGCTGTTGCAACGAGCCCGATCGTGATCAGTGTGCGAATCGTCTGCATCCGAGTTCCTACAACGAATTCTTCAAAGCCGCCACAGTCATCGTACCACGCCCACGGGTTGGCGCAGTGTTTGCTGACTGAGCACGCGACACCCCTCTTTTGCCGAAGCAAGATCGCCGAGGCGTGAACATTCTCGAACCAGGCAGCTTGCCGTTCGAGCGGTTTGGAACCGCACCGGTCACACGACCATCAGGAGTTAGTTCGATGAAGATGACAATTGGAGTCGCCATGGCGACCGCGCTGATGCTGGCGCTCCCCGCCGCCACCTTCGCACAACTTAACCCGCCAGCGCCGGCGACCGACGCTACCGACGCCTCGTCCGGCGCCGTGGATACGGCCGCTCAGGAGGCTAACGACGCGACCGCCACGGCGATCGACGCCGCGGACAACGCTTCGGACACCGCCGGCGACGCCGTTGAAAGCTCGACCGACCAAGCCATCGACACGGCGGATGACGCCGCGGATCGAGCACAGAACGAAGCCGACGACCGCGCCGACGAAGCGCAGCAAGCCGGCGACGATGTCGCAAATCGCGCTGACGACGAGTTGGACACGGACCTGACGGCGGAAGCCGATCGCGACAATGAAGCGAACCGTGACAACGAAGCGCCGCAGCTCGACGCCGAAGCTCAGCTGGACGATGAGGCTCAATTGCGTGCCGACGCCGCTGTTGGATCGCAGTCGAATACTCGCTTCACCGACGAGGACCGCAACGCGTCGTGGCGCTTTGTCGAGCGTAATGGCGTCTGGTGGTACCGCACGCCGATGAACACGTGGATGATCCACCAAGGCGGGCAGTGGCAGGCCCAGCCGTATTCGGTTGGTTACCGTGGCGCACAGCGTGGGCAGTACTACAACAACCAGCCGGGCCAGCCCGTCTACCAGGGCCAGCAGCAGGCCTATTACAACGACGGCTACCAAGGCCAGCGTGGCCAGCAGCAGGCCTATTACAATGAGGGTCGCCAAGGCCAGAACGTCCGCCAGACCTCGCACCACGAGGGCGCTAATCACGGCTGGGGCGAAGAGCACCCGAGCGTCGGTCAGCAAGAGTGGATGTGCATCGATGGTCGCCGCACGCTCGTGACGGTTGTCTCCGTGACGCCGGTAACGGCGGGAGAGGGCGGTCAGTACTACCCCGAACGCGCCGCTCAGAACGAGGGCAATCAGCAGCCGATGCCCGCCGCCCCGCAGGACGAGTGGCAGAACGACCGCAATCGTGACCAAGACCAACAGGATCGCGATCGCAACGAATCGGATAGCGACCGGATGACCCCGCCGCCCGTGCCGCAGCCCAACGACAGCGCTAGCAACGAATCGGCGGACCGCCCCGAGGCGCCCTCGGCGGAGAGCCTTCAGTCGGCGACGACTTCGAGCAACCAGTCGTACTCGGCCGCAAAGCCGGTGACCGATACCCAGCAGCAGGTCCCGGCAACGCCTCAGCCGGCTTACCGGTCGGGCCAAGCGACCCAAGCTGGCCCCGCGGATGGCTCGTATGAGACGGCCGCCGACCGCAACGCCGGCCGCATCGAGGCGACCGACATCCGCGACTGATTTGGCTTGCCATCGCCAAGAGGGCCGCTCTCCCGCCGGATAGCGGCCACCGCCCCGCCACGCCCCTGCCGGCGTGGCGGGGTTTTTTCGTTGGGGCTGTCCGTTGGGCGTCGTGGCCGTCTTGCCGCAGTCCGACTTGCGGGCTGGACGCCGGGCGGCGAAACTACGCGGTTCGCCGCCCCAGCGCGGCTCACGCCCTTAGCGAAAGGGGCGTCCTCCCTAGCCTGCCGAATCAAACCGACGATCCCCCCATGGCCGGACACTCCCACTGGGCAAACATCGCGCACAAGAAAGCCGCCATCGACGCCAAGCGCGGCAAGGTGTGGAGCAAGCTCAGCCGCGCGATCATCGTCGCGGCGAAGGCCGGTGGATCGGACCCGGACACCAACCTCAAGCTCCGCTATGCGATCAACGACGCCAAAGCGATCTCGATGCCCAAGGACAACATCGAGCGTGCGATCGCCAAGGGCTCGGGCGAGGCGGGCGGCGACAACTATGAAGAGGTCGTCTACGAAGGGCAGGGCCCCTCAGGCGTGATGGTGATGGTCGAGATCCTCACCGACAACCGCAACCGCACCGCCCCTGAGATCCGCAAGGTCTTCGAGAAGGCCGGCGGCAAGCTCGGCGCGACGGGCTGCGCGGCCTGGATGTTCACCCGCAAGGGGATCATCACGATCCCCGCCGACCAGACCGACGAAGAGTCGCTGATGGACATCGTCCTCGAGGCGGGCGCCGACGACGTCTCGCTGCAAGGCGACTTCTTCCAGGTGACGTGCCCCGTTGAGTCGTTCAACGACCTCTGCGCCGCGGTCGATAGGGCCGAGGGCCTCACGCCCGACAGCCAGTCGCTCGGCTACGTCCCCAACGACACCGTGACGCTCTCCGGCGACGACGCCCAAAAGGCGATCAAGCTGATGGAAGCCCTCGACGACCACGACGACGTGCAAAAGGCCGCGGCGAACTTCGAGGTGGACGAGGCGACGCTCGCGGCGATGGGCTGAGCGGTTATTCGCTGACGACGAGAGCCTCCAGCAATTAGCCCCCGCCCAACACTTGGCCCCCGGTCAATGACCGGGGGCTGAATGACGTGAGTATCCAACCACGCCACGCCATCACATGTGTGAGTTGAAAGCTTCATCACTGACGCCATCCTCTGGCGTCAGCTGGCGTCAGCTTGAACTTTCGGCGGACGCCGCGCACATAGCAATCGGCGACTTCGCGCTTGTTGGGGATCGGGTAGAGCTGCGTCTTGCCTTCGACGACGCGCAAAAAAGCCGTGTGGCCTCCTTTACCGCGTTCGGGCTCTTCCCAAGCATCGTACGCCTTGAGCGCACGGCGGAGCTTCTTCATCGAGAGCGGCATTTAGGACGCAGTCGTGAAGGGAGGCGTCATCACCGGCCCGCTGTAGCGACGGAGGCGTGCGGATTCGAAGACGTAGTCGGGCGACGGCGACTGAGGCGCGGCGTCAAGGCGAATCTCTCCCTGGGCGATGTCCTCGCCCGCCGCAAACATCACCTCGAACTCACGCGGCGCGGGCGAGAACAACAGGCTGGGGTCGTTATTCTCGAGCGACCATGCGAGTTGGGTCTCGATCGCCGAACGCAACGAGGCCAGGGCGTCGGACTGCGAGGCGCCGTCGCCCATCAGATCGAGTTCGAGGCAGTGCGCAATCCAGGCGTCCTGTTCGAGATAAAAAACGATGCGAAGCGGTATGCGATAAGTCATGGCGGCGCCCAGGTCTGGCGGATCGGTCGATTCAGTATAACCTGCTCGACAGACCCGTAGGGTGAGGCTCGAGGCTTGAGACCTGAGGGTTGCGCCGCCATCCTGTTGCGGTCCGCGGCGCAACCCTCAAGCCTCACGCTGCTAGCAGCCCCGCCCTGGCAAGCCGCGTTATCCGGGTAACTCGGCTAGGTCGGTTCCAGCCGGGGGGATAGAATCGCCGCCGGCGCCAGCTTGTCGCCCCCGGGTGTGGGGCGGCGTACCATAGCTGGGTAGCGCTGTGACGATGCGATGACTCCCCTTTCGGGCCCTGCGAGAGAGACCCTCCGTGACCACGATCTCGACCTACCTGGCGGCCTCGCTGGTCGCCGTCACGTTTGGCTGGGTCCCTTCCGAGCGCGCCGGCGAGTCGCAGCCGGCCGAGGGCTACGACTACCTCGTCAAGCTTTCGCCCGAGGACCTCGAAGCGATGCGTGACGGCCGCGCGGTGGACCTCGTTAGCGAGTTGCCCGACGACGTCGGCCCGATCGAGCGCGTGCGCGTCTACGTCGGCGAGGGCGAGGCGCCGCGGCAGCTCCGCGATCGCGACCGGCTGTCGCCGCAACGGATCTTCGCCGAGTCGCGGGCGAAACGGTACGAGGTCAAGAAGCCCGTGACGCCCGAGTGGAAGGACGCCGCATTGCTCGAAGCGGACGACGCCAACGTTGGCGAGACCGCCGAGCGCCGGACGGCTTACCAGAACCCCCCGACCTTGCAGGACGGCTTCGCGGAAGCGACGCGGCCTTTGGCGGAGGTCGGCCAAGCGATCGACAGCCAGACACGCAACCTCGCCGACGGGACGGCGCGACTCTTCGAACAAAGTGGCGACCAGCTCCGCCGCGGCGCGGAAAGCCTGCTCAATGGCGCCGGCGAGACTCTTGAGAGGATCGTCCCGAACAACACGACGACGCCTTACGCCAGTCGTCCACAGTACGACGAGCCGTCGCGCCTGGCGGCGCCCGATACCTCGACCGGCGCCGACGCGCCCCAACAGGCGCAGTTCACGACGCCTCCTTACTCCAACCAGCAGCCCCGGAACCCGTCGGAGAGCTACCCGCCCCAGAACTACCCCGCCCAGACCTCACCGCAGAGCAATGCGAGCAATCCCCCACGGGACGACTTTGGCAGCCCTTCACGAGTAAATAGCTACGATCGGAATTCACGAGACGACCTTGTTCAACGATTCACCGACGACCCCTACGCCGCCACGTCTCGCAGCGTGCTGACGCCCGTGCAGCGCCGCGAAAGCGCCGCCGAAAGCGACAACAGCGCCAGCGCGCCCTCGTCCTCGCAATCGAATGTTTGGGACCCCAACTACAACGCCTCGAACGACCCGTCCCGTTCACAAGCTGGCACGTCGCAAGGCGCGCAGCGTGACGGCTCGGCGTTTGCGGACTTGCAACCGCGCGCTAATAGCGGCCCGAACACTCCGCCCCCCCGCTCGTCGTTCTACGACGACGACTTCGCCGCCAGCCGGCCCCCCGCCAACACGACGTCCAACACTGGGGGCGCCGAGGCGAACAACACCCCTTCCACCGGTTGGACCGGCCGCGAGTTCGCCGACCCGGGCGCCGCTGCGGACCCGAGCACGGTCGTGGTGAACGAGCGCTCCGACAGCTCGGTGGTCATCGATCGGCTGCTGATGCTGATCCTCGGCGGCGCGACGTGTTTCACCTGGATCGCGTACATCGACGTGCGGAACAAGTACCTCTCAGTGCTCCGCGCGGCGCCGGGCAGCGGGTACTCGAACGCGGCATAGGCGCAGCGTAGTCTTCTTTCGGCAGAACCGGACGCTAAGGTGTGCCGGCTGATATGGCTGGCAAAGGCTTATCAGCCGCGGGGCCTTAGCCCC